TTTACTGACTTGCACTTTGGGTTTCTAAAGACTAATCACAGATATATATATATGGATAGAAAGGCTAAACACATTTATACTTTCGGAACCCAATTGTTTGAGCTTTTTTTTTTCTTTTTGCTTGTTTCCCCCATTTCTTTCTCTCTCTCTCTCTCTCTCTCTCTCTTTCTTTCTTTCTTTTAGTGTGTGTGTGGGTGTTTCTTCTTTGCCGGGTGCCGGGGAGAGATGAGTCGCCTGCCGCGGGAGTTGCGGGAGCGATTGGCCCGCGAACACGTCGAGAAGGCCCGCGGGCTGCGCACCGACGCGGCGGAGTTGGCGACCCCCGCCCTCGCGCACCTCACCCGCGCCGTCGCCCTCAACCCCCTCCTCGTCCCCGCGCTGCTCCCCCGCGCCCACATCGCCGCGCGGCAGGGGCGGCACGACGTGGCCATCGCCGACCTCACCCTCGCCATTCAGCTGGAGGAGTACGGACTCGACAGACGCCGCCTCGCCGCCGCCTACGGGGCAAGAGGGAATGTCTACCGTAAGGTGAATAAGATTGCGGAAAGTATTATTGATTTTTCAAGGGCAGTAGAGGTGGAACCGGATAATGGGACATGGTTGTATGAATTAGGGGTCTCGTATTCTGTGCAGGGTAGTACAACTCTAGCCCAACATTTCTTTACAACCGCGTTAGGAGATAAATTAACAGGACGAATGTCTGAAACTATTCGCTTTCGTGCACTCTATGCTTTAGGTACATGTAAGCTAAATGTAGGAGATATAAATGGTGCAATGACAGTACTTACAAAGGGACTTGAAATTCAAGAGACACATGGTTTACATAATTTACTTGGTGTTGCCCATTTTACTCGTGAGGAGTATAAAATGGCCTTAATACACTTTACGCGAGCATTAGAACTTGACGGTCTTAATAGTGAATATCATGTTAATATTGGTCTTTGTTTGTTTCAACAAAATGTTATGCAAGATGCCCTTAAACATTTTGAAGATGCCGTTTTAAAAGGTCCAAAACAAGCGATGCTTCATTTTTTTAGGGGAAATGCAACTCTTATGCTTGGAATGTATCCACAATCTATTACGGATATGAATGAAGCAATTTCATTAGATCCATCAAGAGAAACTTATCATTATTCTAAAGCGTTAGCTTTTTTAGCTCAAGGATACAACAGAGAAGCCCTAGCTGAACTTCAAATAGCTGTAAAACTAAAACCAACATTCCATACTGCATGGGTACACGCAGGATTACTACATTTATTACAACGTCAATTATTTGATGCTTTAAATTGTTTTTCTAAAGCGTTAAATCTTCAAGAAGAAGATGTACTCGTTCATGAATGTATTGGTCTTGTTTACTGTGACCTTAAGTATTATGATCTCGCTGCTGATTCTTTTACAAGATGCATAACTCTTGGACCAGGTAATCCTCTCTTTTACTTTCGTCGTGGTGCCGCTTTAATTGAACATGGAGATATTCATGGTGCCCATCTGGACTTAACAAAAGCTGTACTTGAATATAATTTTCGTGAACCTCAAGCTTTACACTCTCTCTCTGTCGTCTTAAGTAGATTGGAAAGCTTTTCAGAAGCTTTGGAATTTGCTAATGAAGCAGTTTCATTAAATTCGAAAAATTACCGTTATTTGTTGCATCGTGCTGATTGTCTTTACGCTGTTGGAAATTATTCAGAAGTTGTAGAAGTAACCACTACTGTTATTCAACAGGGTTATGAAAGTGCAGAATTGTATTATTTACGAGCTCGTTCAGAGTATGCACTTCATTTATATAATGAAACAGCTTCAGATTTACTACAAGCAGCCTCTCTTCAACCTTTACTTCATGAAAGTGCAGATTTCTGTTATGCTTTGGGAATTGCATATTTGTATTCTAATCAGAACTATCGTGATGCAGAAGTCGCATTAACAACTGCTATTGAACGTCATCCTAATCCACCTGTATGGTTCTTTGATGAACGGGCGAAAGTACGTCAACGTCTTGGTGACGCTGCAGGTGCACTAGCGGATCTTAATGTTGTATTGAGTGTTGAAGAAGATGACCCTAGTGTACTCTTACGACGCTCTTTTGCACACAAATCTCTTGAAAATTATATGGAAGCTGCAAGAGATTTTGAAAAAGTGAAAATGATGGATGGAGCAAAAGATATACTTACACAGGTATCATACGAAAAGTTCTTTGCAATTGACCAGATAACCTGGGATATCAATTAGTGTTGGAATTCTTGTTGCTTTTTTTTTTTTTTTTCTTTGTTGTTATTTTTGTTTGATTTTTCCTGTGTGAATGTAAAGAGGAAATACCGTTTTCAGTACAATGAAGAGGATAGAGAGAGAGAGAGAGATTGAGTTCTCAATGAACAAACTAGTTTTTTTTTTTTTTCTTTGGTTTCGAACTAACTGATATGTTTTTATTTGAATTCTGTTATGTTAATCTTCTTTTTTTTTGCGCTTTTCCTTTTCTCTGTTGTTTTTTTTTTTTATATATCCTGGTACATATATATATATATAGTTAAGTAATAAAGAGGGAGCTTTTCTTTGCATTCCCTCTGTCTTCACATTCTTTTCCCTTCTTCCCCCTCCCTCTTTCCCCTCCACCCTCAATTCATCACAAATACTTATCTTCAACAGGCTCACACGCAGACGAACGAGGTACGAGTTTTATTTTTTTGTTTTGAAAGAGAACCAAAAAAAAAAAAAAAAACGGTAGCGACGAATTACAATTCGTAAAGACGTACAAACACACGCACGTTGATGCTGCGGTGCTGCAGCTCTGTTTTACGCACATCTACTTCAGTTGATTTAGCTTTTAGACGTGCATTAGGATCACAGAGTACACTTCTTGACCTTGTGCCTGTAAAGAAGCCACTGATAGATGGATCGCTCTGTTGGTTTATCGAAGAGAATATTGATATTGTTCTTGTCTCTGGTGTAAAGGGCACTTCCCCAGATGAAGTAACGGATGGTGTTAAACTTCGTGCCACACATTTACTGCAGCAATGCGGTGATGGGGATGCTGTGAAAGGTTGCTATGCTCTCAAGCGATGTGTGCAGGAGGCAGTAACAGTTAGACATTTATTGCGCCGACTGGATCTACAGGTTTTATTACGTGTATGGGATGAATCACCCACTACTAAAACATCATTAGAAATGAGTTCAGATGACTTTAAATATGATAGTGATGTGAAATTACACTGTTCCATTTATGAGATTGATACTTGGGAACCACATAAAGAGAAACGACATTTAAAGGATATATCAGCCTTTCCATCTGAAGTTTCTCTTGATCAACTCTTACGTCGTGCTTTACATGTGGTAGAGCAGGATGCGGAGAAGAAAGAACAACAATTTGCACTAGCTTCATTCCTTGAAGCTCGTTTACTTCTTCTTCATGGTAGTGCTTCTCCTTTTCCCATACGTTTTAATCATTCTGTTTCATTTTCAGAAAGAGAAAATGAAGTTATGTGTTCTTCTTCTTCTTTTAAAGGTCGAATGGAATCAAATCCTATGATGGTCTTTGCAGAGGACCCTGCAACACGTTGGATTGTCTCTTCCACTTCATACAAAGTGGATTTGGAGTTTTTACGGTATTCTATCGAAGGGAGTGATCATCAAAAATTTATTTCTGGTACATGGAAATTACAGGATAATGTTGGAAATACTGAAAGATGTGATGTACCTTTGGTAACATTGAAAAATAAGAAGGGACTTATATTTGGAAGTCATAGCCTTGACATGAAAGGGCAAAAACATCAACAACAAGAAGAACAAGAAGAAGAAGAAATGGTAGATGAAGATACTCTTGAAAAACTTGAAAATGCAGGAAAACTTATTCGTGTTTCATATTTGGAAGGGAAACAACACGTATCGAAAGTTCTGCGTTTGCTTTGGGATCAACCAATTCTACAGTCTCTTTTATTTTATACATCTGTTGAATTTTTCTGTGGTCGTCTCTCATGTACACGAGCAGAAGATTATGTGAAGAGTTGTGGAAGACTTGAGATTGATTCATGGTTGAATGATCAAGGTCGACAAACAACTATACCTATGCCGCCATTATACCTACGTTATTTTACTTCCTTGGATTTTCTTCAGGAGTGTTTACCACTTGAAATGGGATCTCGAATAATGTTATTTACTCAATTAGGTCCTTTACATTTGAGTTATCACGTGGCTGCAGCATCAGGTGATCGTGTGGTAACACCTATGAGTTGTTTTAGTTCTGCCACAGCGGCACTTTCAGCGTTGCTGCCGTGGTATACCGCAACACCGCTACGACCAGTGGTCTCTGAACAGAATTATCCCCACCACCATCAACATCATAATCATAATCATCAACAACAACAAAAGCCATCAGAGAACTCAACTGCGACGGAGACTGCGGGTGGTTCGGGTGAACAAACTACAAAACCCACTGAAGATGCTTCACTCAATACTGTACGTGTACTGGATGTGGAGGCGGTGCTAAAGAAGATGGGTGTTGTCAGTGGGACTTTTGCTTCTGATCGACTCGAGTATTTTGACACATCAGGACGTAAACTTTTGGAGTTTGATCAGATGGACACTTTAAATGGTATTGAGCGTTTAGTGCGTTGTTTACGGCGAAAACGGGCTGCAAGTTTCACTACGATATCACTGCACGAAGGGGCTCGGGCGCCGCACATCATTGCCGGTCGCGCTTTGGCCGGTTTTGCAGCAAATAAGATGCCACCGTATGTGAAACGTGTTCGTATTCCTGTTCCACTCGTGCCTGGTGAGTTCTTTGGAATTCGATTTGCGGGTTTACTTGAATTGGAACAGCTGGAGTGTAGATTGCTTTCCATCTTTGAAGAATATGCAGAGGACCCCACACAATGGCCACTGCGGCGACGAACACCGTGTTTCTTTAATCGATGGCGTTTTACAAGAGGGATTATTGCTGCTATTATGCGGCATGATGATAAATTTCGCTACACAATTGATCCTCCATTAGGTGAAAAAGGTTCTAGAACTCTCTTACTGCGTCTATACTCAGGTGATACTGTAATGCGGGAGATAACAGTTCAGGAAGAGGCAGTTTTATTACAGGTACGAAATTGTTTTGCGGAATATGCCAATCAATGGATTGTTGATTTACCACCGATTGAAGATGTTCTTTTTGGTATGCTGGATATTAAGAAAACAACCTCTTTTTCCTACAGAACTGTTCTTAATGCAATGTTACAAAATAGTGAGGTATATACTACTAATGAGGATACTGTCTCACTTGAGCTCCGTATTTCAAGTGATGTTTCGGTTATTCTTTCTAGTGAAAAAAGTGGAGGGACTCCAGAGTCAAAAGAAATGATAAGTAGATCATTTGTGGTACGTCAGTTTGCCATGCTTTTACCCTTGATTGCACTATTGCAGCGAGCACAGCTTATTATATCAGAGTTAAAGGATAATGGAGGGGCTGTTTTTCACTGTCAAGATAATACCGCTGTTGGACGTGGTTTTCGTTGGGAACTAAAGAAACAAACAGATAATTTAAATAAATATGAAGTTATTGATGCTGTAGAAGGTATGTCAAGATGGGTTGCACTTGGTGAACTAGTGGATAGGTATCCGCTACAAAAAGAAGCTAGAAAACCAGTAAAAGAATTTAGAAAACCGGCAAAAGAAGTGACGATTAACCAAAAAATAAAATATGGGTTAACTATTGAGGAATGTCAAGCTATACTTGGGCGAAAATATGGTGTTCAAAAGATAATTCACGAATACAATAGAGATAATAATGAGTTCATTGTAAAAGGACTTAATTGTGATACTCAAAAAGAGTCAAGAACAACCTCTTTGATTCGGGTTATTGCGCTTAAAGAAAAAGATTCTATTGGTCATGTAATTCACAGATATTATTGGAAAGAACTAGAAATTCCAAATCCACCTGCCTTATCTTTTGAAGATTTGCGATTGAGGAGTTTACAATCGATTTACAATTTATGTCAACCGTATTTTACATTAGCACTTCCACCACTAAATGATTCGCTCTCTGAAGTACTGACAAAAAAAGGATGGTGTGTTGTTCTTAAACTTCCAGGAAATCTTTTTGCATTTGAAACACTAAAACATGTGGAGTATGTATATCTTGGTCGTGGAAAACATGAAGGCCGTCGTGAAGTTATGCGTCAATTTTACAATTCCATATTTGGTAATGCCTCATCAACTACTGAACAGGTTTTGTTGAATGCGTTTAAAAACGATCCTGTTTCACATCCTGAAGTTTCCACTGCTATTAATAGCATTAACCCTGGAATACAAGGAAAAACAAGAACATCAACATCATTATCATCATCACTATCAGTACCAACAGCGGTGACACCTTGTGGGAAAGACGCTTGTATGTATAGTGAATTGATGCGTGTTATTGGTAATGCGCTTCAATCGCATGTAGGATATGATGGTGTGGTGGAGTGTCGTTTGAGTTTTATGACTGGAATTAAATGTCGATATGTTCGCCAGCCTTTTTCTCATGGAGATCAGGTGGATCTCTTTAACGTTCCTTTGCGATCAACCTTATGGTTACCGCTTCAACTTCTTTGTGAACTCATGTCGTGTGCTCTCCGTCTTCTCTCAGAGACTGTATTAACTGATTTACTACTGCGTGCCTCTTCTGAATGGCCGTCAGTTTTTCTTGATATGAATAAAAATGAACGTCTCTTCTGTACAACATTTCTTCGACGTTATTTGGGTCTTTATAGTTATGAAGAGAATGATGTGGATCCCCGCGCGGCGGTACCTGGAACAATATACTTAGTGGAGTCCACACGGTCTGTTAGTGGTGGGAATGTGGAGGCTTCTCTACTTCTCTTGCAGACACCATTACCTCCACACACAGCAACGTTTAAGAAAAGTCTTGCCTTAGAGAAGGGAACTAGTTTATCGCGTGCCGAGTTGGGTTTGTGGAGTAATGTGGCCCAGCAACTGGAGCATTTGCTGGAGGGAATACAGAAACATAATATTCAACATGCGCAGCAACGAGATGTGGATAAGGCTGTTTTTAGTTTTCTCTCACGACTAGCAATGGATGAGGGGCGTTAAAACTGGTGTGGGGGTATGGTTGGGGGGAAAAAAAAAAATTAAGAAAGAAAAAAGAAAAAGAGAAAGAGAGATAAATACGAACTACTACTTATCGGTATGTGTTTTCCTTTCTTATATTATGTCATGTTTTCTTTTTTTTATATGTTTTGTGTGCATTCATTATTGCTTCGATATTAAAACTACAGAATGGTTTTATTATTATTAGTGGGAGAACGATTCTTCTTATTTTTCCATTTTAATTTTATTTATATATATAATTACAATGCTTTTGTGTAGCGTTCAGATAAGATGTTAACAGAGGGAGATTTGGAAGAGTTGGCGCTTGTTGAACTGGATGATGATTTTTTAGAAACTAATCTACGCAACGGTAGTGAAAATAAGGCGTTGGATGTAGAATTGAGTCAGCGTTTAGTACAAAGTGTATGTGATGAATTTGTTAGTACATTTCTTGGCGACGACGGTGTGGCGACATTACATCAGTTACTGCAAGAGTGTGATGCCTCACTTGCAGACATTGAACACGTTCTTCGTCGCTATATTGATAATTTGGGACGCATTCAGCAGGATATTGGCGATGTACGTGAGCGGCTAAAACACGTTCGCGTGCAACTTAGCAACAGACAAGCAGTAGAAACTTTAGTTAAACGTGTGGTTTCACGTGTTGTGGTGCCTCCTGATGTTGTGCGAGTAATTGTGCATAGTAGTGAAGAACAGTTAGGTACACAGTTTAGTCTCAGTACACACCAGTTATGGTTGTTATTACAATACCGAAAAGAGATTGGTGTTCCGCTTGGTCCTAATGGGGCACGGGTCTCACTGATATCATGTCCTTTCTATGCAGAACAGCGAGAGGTGCTGGATCGCCTGGCAGTGCACGCCTGTGTGAAGGTGCAGCGTTTTCTTATACGCAAGTTAACTTCACTCGGAGTGCCAAACACAAATGTGTGGATACAACAGGAACATGTACTGAAACCACATGTCTTTTATGTACACTTTCTACGCTCCGTCGCACCGCTGCTCTCTCCAACACCATATCATTATCAATTACAAGAACGGAATGGTAATATAGAAGATGAATCTCCAGAATGGTTACCTTACCGAATTACGAAAGCATTATATGATGAATTCCGTCTGGATTATTGTCGTATTATGTCACCGCTCTATCATGATCGTATACGGCACTATGTAATGTCATTACATGCATTAGAAAAGGCTACACAGACGGTACCAACAGGATCTGCAGAAATATATATATTACCTTTACTTACAGATCTACAAGATACCATAACAGAACAGTATTTTCAATTAGGTGAACGTGGGAATATTCTGAATTCTGTTTTTTCACCACCACTTGTGCCAGCCGTAGAAATGGCGAAACGACGAACACACTTTTACGAAGAGACATTTCGTTCATTAAATTCTCTCATCTGTGATGCCGTCACACATGAATTTCTTTTTACTTTCATGTTTTTTGATGGAGATATGTCTGTTTTTGTCGATGTCTTTAAACCAACTATTCAATTTATAATAGACTATGTAGCGGAGGTATTACTTGGTCAAGGTGATGGTACAGTCTTTCGCCTTATTCGAGAAGAATATCACTACGCCTCTGTTAATACAAACTGCCGCTATGATTGTTATGGATTATTACTGCTGATTCGCCTTTGTCATGACTTTCGTTCATGCATGCGAGATGCGAGACGGTTAAGTTGTTTGGAGGGATTTTATGATTCGTTGCTTCTACTCCTTTGGCCGTTATTTCAACGTACATTTGAACGTCAAATGCTTGCACTACGATCTGCAGATGTGGCGAGTCTTGCACGTATGGCCTTACGCAGAGGAAAAGGCCGTATATCTGGTACTGGTAATAGTAATAGTAATAGTAATAATAATGGTGATAATAAATATGCGTGGGTGCCATTTGTGCATCCGCTTACGAAACGGTATGCGGCTTTCGCTACTGCTCTTGTAACCATCAGTCGTACATCTGACGTTATTGTAGAATCAAGTAGTAGCCGAAGATCATCCTCTTCGATGAATGGAACAATGAAAACAACAGCGAAAGCGGAAGTCCCAACAGAAGGGGAAACAGAAGCAAAAGATAGTAGTGATACTACTACTACTACTACTACTACTACTACTAATACTACTACAACGAATATGGTTAATAATGGGGATGGAGATGTATTGGATTTTGCTGAACTCCAACGTGTTGCATGGCGTATGGTGGAGGAAGAAATTGCGAGTGATGCGGCGGATAGTGCCTCTCGTTTTGCTGTTCTCGTTGGTAATCTTTCGTTTATGCGAGTGGAGATTGTACGATTGCTGCAGGAGATGGGCCGTCACCTCGCCGCACATGATGTGAAACATCCTGAAATGCAGCACCTTCACGGAATTGCGTTTCTACTAAACAACATTTATTGGATTTTATCTGTGTGGCGCACATCTTCTATTCATACAGCTTCTCTTACTGCTGCTACTACTACTAATACTACTACAACTAATACTACAACTACTGCTGGTTCTTCGACGACAGAGAGAGATAGAGATGTTGATGTTAACAGTGATACTGCTATGGAACTATTTGGTGATGACTATGTTGCCCTACAGGAGTTGCAGCGAACACAACGTGCGGAGTTTGTTGAATCTCTTGTTCGCACCTATTTCCGATCTGTACATCATATTGTACAGCACGACGAACTAGCAGAGCAAAACCCAGCGGAAGTACTTGCAGTGGCGGATGCATTTACGCGTGAATGGAAGCGTAAATTAGATGACATGTGCGTTTCGGTCTGTTCAATGTTATGTGATGTGACACATGAGGGAGAAATCCTTGCGCAGGTGTGTATGGAAGTATTGCTGTGTAATACTCGTTTTCACTCTTGTGTATCCCGGGCTGTGGAGGCTTCTGTGGGAATCGCAGAAGATGCGAGGCGTCCGCTTCGATCCTTTATAGTGACGAATCAGCAGATGCTACAACACATGAGGACACTTGCAACAATGGTTGAAGACGGTGAGGATGAAGAGAAGGAAGATTTGAATGAGTGATGTTAATAATATATATATATATATATATATAGAGCTCTGAAGTGTGTTATTTCATGTGATTTCTTCTTCTTCTTTTGTGTGGGTCTTGCAGGCAAAGGCAGGGAACATGTGTTGGAAGATGAAATGATTTTTGTTTTCCTTTTTTCTTATGTTAACTATTTCATTCTTGATTTTCTTCTCTTTTTTGCTTTTCCCTATCGTATTTTGCTGCGATGGTGTGTATCTGTATGAGTATGAATATATTTTCTTTTTTTTTTTTTCTTTCTGTGATGCATGACAGTGTTTCGAAATTTGTTCACTGTTTTTTTTTTTTTATTCTATCTTGGGAGTGGAATATATGGAATTCCCCTTTTTCAGTTATTATGTTTCTTTTATCTCCTCTTCTTGTCTGTGGTTTAGTTCTCTATTCCAATCGCAAGGTACTGTTTACAACTATCCCGCACGATGGATAATAATTGGGATGGCATTCAATATTTCGTGAAGTGGGCCAAGTTGCTATCTTATGCTGATATACTTGTCAATCGATTCAAGGCCGCAGGATGTGATTCAGCTGCAGATGAGCTTAAGATGATAAGAGATGAATTTAATTATCATATAAGTATCAAATCCAATGGTGAGGTCTTTCGTAAGGCCTGGGAAGCAGTCGCTGCAATGCCGGACAAGTGGGAAGAAACAGTTGATAACACCGATTGGGATGAGGCCAGACCAAAGGACGATGCCGAATGGGAACAGTGGAATGCGTTTAAACTTAATGGCGATGATTGTGCTCAAATTTTTGAGAGTGAAATGCAAAGATTAACTACAATCACGAAAGCCAAATTACAAGTGAAATATGATGAGGCTGTCAAGCGCTGGGAGGCCGCCAAGAAGGCCACGGAAGATGCTGACGGAGAAGTGCGTCAGAAATGGAAGTTAACGCGAAAAAAACATGAAAGTGCCAGAAAATATCATCTTGTTTGGTCAGAAGTTTGGAAAGCAAAGATATCTTTTCTTGAAAAGGGTGAACAAGAATGGGCTGCTGAGTGTGAAAAATGGGAGACATGTGTAAATTTAATGATCCAGCAGCATGGTGTTGATTCCGATCTCGCGCAGATCGCAAGGTACCGCTCAGAACTAACTTCTACAAAGGAGTTTACAGGGGATTGGGGCTTTCCACATTGTACGAAGTGGTACCAGTTGATATACAAATCTAAGCTATTGTACCGTCAATTCAAGGTTGCCGGATGTAGTGCAGAAGCAGATGAGGTTCTGTTGGAAAGATGTGAATTTGATGATTGTATAAAAAAAGAATCCAATGGTGAAGCCTTTTGTGAAGCCCGGTGTATAGCCCAAGCTATGCTAAACACGTGGGAAAAAACCAATAATCGCACCGCCTGGGATAAGACCAAACCAGAGTACGATGACGAATTGAATAAGTGGAATGAGTTTAAACCTAAGGGTGAACAGTATGCGAAGAAGTTGGAGGCAAAGATTAACTCTCTTTATGGACGTGTACATTTGCAAGCTCAGACGTTCGAAGGTAATGTTGAACAAAAGAACAAGAGAGACAAGGAACGCAAGAAGCTCCGTAAATTGGAGAAAGAAGTAAATCAAAAGTTAGATAAAATCCGCAGATTGAAGAAAAGACGATGGCGCAAGAAGATCCGTAAATTGAAGGGTGTAATAAAAAGAAAGAAGAAGGAAATTGATAAACTTATTAAAGATGGCGGTAAACATCGCAACAGGATTCGTAAATTAAGGGCCAAAATCCAGAAATATTATAAAAGGATCCAAAACGTGAAGGATGAAGTGAAACAGAGACGCCAGAAAATCAAAGAATTAGAGCGTGAAGTGGCGCAAGGGAAGAAGAAAGTTCGTCAGTTGAGGAATACTATTGCTCGAAAGGACGAAGCAATCCGAGAGCGTGGGCGCCCAGTGAAGGAATTGGGTAGCTCTCTCGAGTTGCCTGCACAGGTCCAGACAACACTGATCAGAGATTAGTGCCAGGATTTAGAAGACTCCGAAATCATCACTCGCACCGTGCTTGAGTAAGAATATCAACTGATTTGATGAAAAGATGGCCAATGTTTCTTCTTCAGAATGCTGCAATAACGAAGGCTGCCCAACTAAAGGACGGCATCAGCAGCCCTGCGTTACTGCGTGTTCCACTCCTCCTGCTGCTGCTGCTGCTGCTGCTGCTCTCTGTGCTGGACTGTATTACCGTGTGCTGAGCACTGTGGTGGGGTCCATCCAGAGAGTGTTGCTAATCACTTGTTTACTGCTAGTAATAATAATAATTTAATTGCTACTGTGTTTTGTACACTGATCACGGAGAAAATCAATCCCGATGACACCCATTGGACTGGGGTGCATCACTTTTTTGTGTGGAAATACCTAATCTCTTCTCTTTTTTATCTGCGTTCACATTATGTCTGAGCAGAGTAACATATATTATTTGCTTCTCCCGGTGGAGAAACTTGCAAATTGTAATGGGGACAGGGAGCAACCAACACAAAGAGATTTATGCATTATTCGTTATTATTATTTTTGTGTGTGTGGCTATCTCTGCAATGTTACTAAGTGATTTAATACGGGAAATATATATCAGTTTTCTGGAAATTGTTTTCTGACGGCTTGCTAACAGAATAGTCAAGTCTTACATTTATGCTTTTGAATGATTTAATGTGGGTCTGGGGGGATACATGTTTTTTTTTTTTTTTTTTTTTTTTTTTTTTTTTTTTTTTTTTTTTTTCTATCTTGGGAGTGGAATATCTGGTATTCCCTTTTTTGTCATTATGTTTCCTTTTATCTTTTTCTTGTCTGTGGTTTAGTTCTTTATTACAATCGTCTGGTATATATTTGACTGGTACCAGTATAGGGAGTACTCATATACAACCTTCCTATATTATATATATATATATATATATAATATTTTCTGGAGGTACTATTTTCTCCATTTCAACTCTTGGTAGTATTATTATTATTACTATATTTCAACGGTGTGTATGGATCGTGTGCATGCATTGCAGTCGCAGTGGGTTAATCTCCCGCAGCCACGCAAAATGAAGGCCCTTCGCATCATTGCTGCCGTCTGTTACGCTATTGCCCTTTTCTTTCTTGTGATATTTACATTTGGCGGCACTACAACCGCCAGTAGAACACCAGAAGCGGCAGTTATCTTTACAGAGGCAACACCAGGGGGTATCGCAGCACTACGGTACTTGTCGCTTCGACGAGATGTTAACATCGCCGCCGTTGTAATCGCCATCAATGCGTGGAATGTTAATGTAAATGCTGCACATGATAATATTCGTGCTTTTCTCGCAGCTATGCGGGAGGAGAAAACACTTCACTATGATGTTCCAGTATACTATGGGAACAGTCTGGCACAGGTAAACGCACATTTCTTAGATGATATAGCATATACTACAGACACCAATCCTTCCACAGGAGAGAGAAATATGAATACTACCTCATGCACCTACAGACGAGTACTTAGTCCTGATATCTTAATGGACGCGGATCGCCTCTTTGGTGGAGCAGAATTGCTTGATACTGTACAAATTAGTGCCCCTACTTCATCTTCCTCAAAAGATAGCAAAAACAAAAATAGTAAAATCAGTCAATTAGAGTTCTTTGAAGAACCCTTGTCGAGCTATTTGGTGCAAAACACGGCAACGTTTCTGGTATTAGGTCCAGCAACCGATGCGGCATGGTTCTTGCAACGACACAGCGAACATAGAAATCATGTGAATTCTATTTTCTTTGCTGCTGGTGCTCTCACATCTGACACAGATCTACGTTTTGTGTACCCACCAAATCGTCGTGCAGAACAGCACGCTTTCTTTGATCCTCATGCAGCAAATTATATCGTAAGTGGTGCTCATCGTATTCCAGTAGAGATGTTACCGTTAGATGCCACACCGCAATGGCCAAAGGACTTGTATGATTCTTATGTTACCTCACGTGCATCTTTGTCGTCTACATCATCCTCTAAAGTTCCAGTTTCTGCACAAGTGGTGGCACGTGCAATTGAAGGCTACAGCAGACGACTTCGAACAGATGTACCGCTGCCTGTTGCAGTGACAGCAGCAGCCTACTTTGCGGATATTCATGTACGTGACAAGGCAACAGTAGCAGAGATACCGATTTTAGTGGCCAATGGCGTTTCCATGGCTACTGATGGTACAGTTGGAACGCCAAGTAAAACACAGCAGCATAGTGAAGTCTTTAAAGTGAAGGTTATTATGCATTTGCAGGAAGCAACCTTCTGGAAACGTTTTGAGGCCGTGGATAATTTAGGAAAATGACAAGGGTACTTGCTTTTTTTTGCCTTCTTTTATTGGCTCTCCTAATGTTTTTCTCTTTTTTTTTGTATATGCCGCATGTTTTTTTTTTTTATCTCTTATTTATGTTTGCATGTTCACTTGTTTTTTTTTATTATTTTATTTCAATTTTCTTCTTGGTTCTTATTTCTTGTTTTTCTCTTTAAATTAACGCAAAATCCATATTTATTGGTTTTTTTTTTTTTTTGGACTCTAGTATATTAATTAATATATATATCTTTAAGATACAGTAAGAGTAGCCACGAGAAGGTTAGCAGGTTTCGTAAAGATAAATAAAAGAAAAAGAAGTGGAGCATCTCAAATTTTCTTCTTGGATCTGTTTTGGTTTCTCTCTCCTTGTGAGAAAGAAATACGTGAGTGATTGGGTTTAACACCTTAATATCATTTTCACAAATATAGACATATACACACGAACGCTTGTAAAAGTCTTCTTTGACAATAGCATAAGTAGACACAGGCATATCTATAGAAAGATTAAGAAGGAAAAGGGAGTGCTTATAGATTATACATAAATATATATATATATATATATATATATATATATATACTTTTTTTGATTCTCGTTTTCTTTCTTTCTTTTACTGTGTATTTGTGTGTCTCTGTGCCTCTGTCTGTATCTGTCTGTGTTTTTTTTTATCACGGGTAGACGAGGACTTCACACAAAAAAATAGAAACGATACTGCTGCGGGAAAGAGATTTTCACGTTTTTTTTTTTTGGTTTTGGTTTTTTTTTAAAACCAAAACTGCAGCACTCGTATACACGGTCAAGAGAAAATTTGTTTGATTGCGATTGACTGTCAGGAATAGATGGACCTAGATTCAATGAACGATAACACTAACAACAATAACAGTACACTTCAGGCGCTTGACATCAATGTGCAGCAGTATGCCAAGTCTGAACTCCTTGCCCTTCCAATACCCCGCCAACTACGTAGTTCCATATCTGGCCAACAACAACAACAAGAGCAATATGAACAACGTCAACAACAGCGGTACCTTGGATTTAGCGATGCATTTATGCGTACAACGTCTCCCTTAAGTTACGGTGAGGTTCGATCGGAGTTGATAAATGTTCTTCTACAACTTGAGATACGACACGGCTGCGCCTGTTATTCCGGGACTGGTGCCTCTGTGGCTGTGGAGGACTGCCGGCGGGTGTTGGAGTGTGCCCTCTCGCGGCTGCTGCTGTCGGCGTCGGAGTCCACGCGGCGACTTCTCGCGGCGGTTGTGGGCGGCGGGCCGTTGAGTCTCCGCGCCGCGGGGGTTCTCCGCCACCGGCGCCGCCAACTGACGGCCGGCCTCGACGGCGGGGCCGCAGACGTTCAGACGGCCGGCCTCGACGGCGGGGCCGCAGACGTTCAGACGGCCGCCCGACTGGCGCTGCTGCTCGGCGAGACGGCGGAGATGCCGCAGTTGTTGCGGCGGCACACCACAGATGCCACCCGGCGGCGAGTGGAGGATTTACTTTTTCTACACCCCACAGACACCGTCGCACTCTGCCACGCTGTGCTGCAGATGCCAGTGCCGCAGCAGGTGGAAACACCCTTTGATGCTCACTACTATAATGATGTGGTGGATGATCTCATTGCGATGGGGGATGAGGAGCCGCAGAGTGGATTGCTGCAAAGCGTGCAACGGGATATCACTCCACAGGTACGGGAACTTCACACAGAGTGGATGTTGCAAGTAGCTATGGCATGTAATGTGAAATTAGAAACATTCTTTCTCGCTGTAGCAATTTTGGATCGGTATCTCTTAAGAATATATGTTCAGCGAGATCAACTCCAACTTGTGGGATGTGCTGCATTGCTATTAGCATCCAAACAGGAAGAGATCTTCCCCATTTCACTTCGCACCCTTGTTCGCTATGGCGCTGACCGTTTCACTCTTGAAGCACTTGTAGCTGCTGAATGTCAACTCTTTTCTTTTCTTGGCTTCGATGTGGTGTTACCTACACTAAGTGCAGTGGGATTGGGTCTTTTACTACTACAGGAATCTACCCCTAGTGAAAAACAAAAATGCTTTCTTCTTTATACCCTGGCCACACTTTCTATTCGTACATACTACCGACAATTCAAACTTTCATCTTTAGCTGCTACTGCCGTTTACTTGAGTCGTTACTGCTTTAATATTCCCTCAGGGAGACCAAGTGAAGAGGTAGCTGCCTTATTGCCGATTGTGACAGCTGCACTCTGCCGCAATTCTGCAATGGGTCCTGGTGGGATTTATGACATATTCGGCAGAAGTGTCTTTCACGAAGTGAGTCGCATTAAGCTACCAGAAATGTAGTGAAATATGTCTGTGTCTGTGTGTGTGTGTAGATTACATAAATTCCACCATGGAAAGAGAAGAAGTATAAACGCAAACTCAAACATTTTTTTTTATGTGTTTATGGGTTTACTGTAGATATCTAAAGAAGAATCACGCAAAAGTTGTACTTTTTTTTATGTATATGTTAATGTGCATGTAATCTTATTGTGATTATTATTATTATGTGTGATGATGATCATCAACATCATTTACTCATATACATGTGAAGTACATTTTTTTTTGTGTGTGTGTTGAATCTTTCGATCATTTTTTTTTTTTACCATCCGCCTGCTCACTTTAGACTTGCCCGTACCTTTTTTATTTGTTTTTCTTTTATCTGTTTTGTGGTTGTATCACCTGTTTTCGATGCTGATACGCATAGAGCTCCTTCTTTTCTACATGACCAGGGTCGCGTTATGCTCGTTTCCCACTCTTATTTCTTTTCCTGCCAACAGCTCGGCTTTCTTTCTGTGGCTGTACGCGCGCGTGTTGTGTGGTGTTTTTTTTTTTTTTTTTTTTTTTTTTTTTTTTTTTTTTTTCATAGAACCACATATAAGCGT